CATAATAACTTCAGGCTGAGATGACTTTAGGCCGTTCGTGACAACATATTTAAGCTTGTGCAATTATTATTACAGGTTTTTCTATTTGTCGCTCGGACCACCAGGCTCTAGCGCAGTCTACAGCAAAAGCTCGACTCCGTGTTGGTTTAGTTGTTGCGTTTAGGATTCCATTGACTGCCGCAGAATCCACAGCTGAGCGGTTTGTTGAGACCATTCCTGATGATTTAAGGTCCCTCGCTAAGGGATCACGGGGAATCAGTGAAAATGCCAAGATATACGGGCTAATTGTCATCGGTTACTTGTCATCCGGCCCTGCGCCTCTTTCTGACTATATCCAGGAAATGCTCATGTTTGCCAATATGACGTGGCACAGGTTTCTGAACCTAGCTGTAATCAAATGGCGTTACACAAAGCTGTTTTTCAATGATGATATTCGAGATCAGCTTGTCCGAGATCAGCTTGTGATCAGTCATATGTTCATTTCATGCACTCTAAACTTTACAGTGATGATGTTTCGACTTACCCCTATTTTTCTATCCTAAAGGTAGCTACCAATTCTGAGTTATCACCTATAACATTTATGATCCTATACGTTATTGCAGTTGTGTACATGGAAGATAGTAAGATGGACGAAACGATTTTGGCTTTGTACAAGAAAAATGAAGCCTTTGTGCATTCCTGATGAAAAAACGATCAGATCACTTATCAATCAACCGGTTTACAAAAAAGAAGGTATGACGGAGTCAATAACTCCCCTTGTCGATAAGATTATCGGCCACAGGTCAAACTTTACTGTGGAGGTCTCAGGAGCGTCAGACAAGAGTCACCAAGAAATAGATCAACTTTTCAAAGATGCAATGAAACTTAGGATGAAAGCTCTAATTAAAGAAATGTATCATACACCTGCCATGCTAGAATTTCAGCAACCAGGACCTGGAACTTCAACACAACATCAGACATAATCCTGCATAAAGTTTGACGCATAGTTGTATAGTATGGCAACTTTCGTGGTTCTATGGTATTGGTTTTGTAACTATACGACCAGCGAAGATATTTGGAATTTATCTCGTTTTACTAAGTATGTTATTTATACCATGTTATTCTTTCAACTATTCTTTTCTTTGTCTGACGGTCTATGTTCATTGCCCACTATAATCCTATACCAGCTACTTTGTTTATGTTATTTTTCATTAACATATTTGGCATTTCGATAACAGAATGTTGCAGTACAAGTTTTCAGCTACGACATTTAGTGCCTTTATGAAGCCTCAGAGCCGTCTATGTTCTAGAAATGGGCCTAAATGCTAACGGGATGAAATACGTTCTGGTCTTGGTGGACCATTTCTCGAAATGGCTAGGAGCCTACGCCATGAAAGACAGAACAGCGAAGACGGTCGCTCACTTCATCTTCCAAAGGTGGATCTGTGAAGGGGGGCGGTGGCCGAGGCAACCACACAGATCAAGGTACAGAATTCATTAATGAAGTTGTGGAGGAACTAGCCAATGTATCTGGAATTGTACATACTAGGACGAAGGGATATAATTCCAGAGAAAATGGAGCTGCAGAAAGGGCAATCGGAACTATACAGAGGGTGCTCAAAAAGAAAATCGAGTGCCCAGATCATTGGGACACCATGCTCCCGCACGTGGTTTACGCTTACAATGTCACACCACATTCTGCGACGGGAGGAAGCCCATTTTTCTTACTGTATGGAGTCGATCCAGTGATTCCCCTCGACTCGTTACCAGAGCCGAGAGTGAAATTGAGCCAGGTTGATCTGGACGACTACAAGTCTGAACTTCTCAGATCGGAG